TTTCAAGTCATTCGGACGTGGTTTGGTCGGGTTTTTGATCGAATGCGTGTTTCGGAAGTTTTAGAAGAACTTGGGCTTGAATTCGATGTAATTTGATGGTTTTGGTGTTGTTTGAGGCGTTTTAATGATTGGAACAAGTTTGAATGATGTTATAGGAGGTGTTGGTGTTTTTGGTTGAGGTCCCGAGGGCCTCGGGTGATTCTGAATGGCTAGCGGAGAGTTTTGGACTTGGGAGATTTTTTGATTTGGCTGCTGCTTCAAGTATTTCCGCTTCTGCGGAAAAGGAACCGCAGAAGCGGTCTCGCAGGTGCGGAAGATAGATCGCAGGAGCAGTTTTCGTGTGGGCTTGGTAGGACCGCAGATGCGGAGTGGGGACCGCATCTGCGGAGTCGCAGATGCGACTTTTGGATGGCAGAAGCGGTATATGGGGCCTTGGTGATTTTTGCAGGAGCGGATATGTGACCGCTAAGCGGAAATGGGACCGCAGAAGCGGATCATGGACATAAGTGAATTTCCGCAGAAGCGGATATTGACCGCAAAAGCGGAAGTCGCAGAAGCGACAATATGACCGCAGATGCGGTAATGACTGGGCAGAATATTTAATTGGTCTTCTTCGCGAATTTTTGAGGGTTTCTCAATTCTAATTTCGGACTTGGAGAATTGTGGGCGATTTTGAAGAGGGATTTCAAGGAGCTTCGATAAGGTAAGGATTCTTGGACTTAAAACACAATCCTATGGTATTATTACATGAATTAAGGCTGGAAATCTAAGAAATCATGGACAAAAAATGGAGGTTAGGGCTTGAACTTAAGAGAGCTAAGATTAGGGATTTGAGGGGTCAATTGAACTCCGATTCATGTGATTTTGATATGTATGAACTCGTGACGAGATAAGGAATCCTTTGCTGTGAAAATTTTTGAGTTTCGAGAAGTGGGCCCGGGGCTCGAGTTTTGGTAATTTCGGGATTTGTGCCTGTTATTGTTTGTTTTCGCTTGGGCTTTGTTCCCTTAGCATATTGTGATATATTCGCTTTATTTTTGGATAGATTCGACGAGCGAGGAGGCCGATTTGAGGGGCAAAGGCGTCGCGAGCTAGAGATTTCGCTGGTTCGAGGTGAGTAATGATTGTAAATGATATCCTGAGGGTTTGAAACCCCGGATTTGCACATCGTAGTGCTATATTGAGGTGACTTGCACGCCGGATAGCGAGCGTGGGGTAGAGCACCGTTGGGGATTGCGACTTGGTCCGTCTCGATTGATGAATTTACTGCATATTTGTTTGAAATTACTTGTTATCATCACAATTTGGGCTGATTGCCATATTTGGGCCTCGTGCCAGCTATTTGAAGCCTTCGGGGATTGTTGTTGAAAATTCCTCACTGTTTTAATTATATACTTGAGCTCAGTCACGTATTTTCCACTGTTTTAAAACTCAGCCAAGTTTATTATGCCTTAAATGCTTGAAATGATATTCTAAAAAATATTTTAGGCTGAGCATCATGTCTTACTGTTGCCCGAGTGGCTTGTTGATCTTTGACTGGGTAAGGCCGAGGGCCTGTACTGTGAGGATACGTTTGGATCGGGCTGCATGCCGCAGCAGTGTTATACTGATATTGATATGAGGCCGAGGGCCTAGATTGATGCCACGAGATGGCTTGATATTGCGCTTGGGCCGTAAGGGGCCCCTTCCGGAGTCTGCACACCTCCCAGTGAGCGCCGTCGACGATAAACGGATCGGGCTGCATGCCGCAGCGATATGTGGATCGGGCTGCATGCCGCAGCGGTACTAGTACTGTTTGCGGTGTGCTAGTACTGTTCCGTGTGTTTACTTTATTTTATTTGCTTGCCTTACCTGTTGTCGTGCTACTTCATGAGATATCTACCGGATTGCCTGACATTATCTGTTAATTGATTGTGGTGCCCGAGGGGCGGACTTCTGTGCTTATCTGCACTACTTGAATTGCATCCGTTTGCATACTGTTGAAAAAGTCATTTCCAAAAGAGGTTTTAAATTGAGCTAAGATATTTCTAAAGATTTCACAGCTTCACTGTTTTTCTCTAAAGGTTTTACACTACTTCTATATAGCATGATGATATGACATACGTGATTTCTTACCGCTCAGTTGTTATTTACCTTTATTACTCACTGAGTTGGAGTACTCACTTTACTCCTTGCACCCCGTGTGCAGATGCAGGTATTTATTCACCTGGTAGCGGGTTTAGCTGATCAGAGTCAGAGATATAGGAGTTTAACGAGGTGACTGCCAGCGTTCGCAGCATCGTTCTTCTCCCTTTGTTCATTATTCTTGATTAGTGTATTTTTAGACCTTGAGGTTGTACTTACATTCTAATAGATGCTCGTGACTTGTGACACCCCGATTAGGGCTGTGTGGGGTTATAATTCCGCTAATTAATATTATTAAGTCATATTTTAGTTGTTTATTCATGTTTAAATTATTTTTGAAAAGACGAGTTGGGTTAGTTGGCTGGCCTCGTCTTCACGAGAGGCGCCATCACGACCAGTGCAGGGTTTGGGTCGTGACACAAATGGTTCATGATCAGGAACCAAATAATTTCATCTTATTATTATTAATGTGCGGTATATATTGTGATTAACATCATAACATACAAAGGTGGATTTCCAAAGTTGAGGAAGCAAGTTAGTTTTTCTAACATGAGGGGGAGATAGGATAAACAGTTGAGAAAAAGTTACGTGGAATGAATTCTCATTTGTACATCTAGATCCTCGAATAAAACAATATGAACTTGAAGTTCATAAAAATATAATTCATTTGCAATATATTGCAAAACATGCCAGACGCATTTGCTGACCCAAAGAAAGTAACTATATTCTCATTGCAAATGCTCATATTAGAATAAGTCCTAGAAGGACAACGTCTATGGAACTCTTAAAGCGTATAGACAAATCGGTTTCAAATAAAATTCTTGATAAAGAAGATGAGCAAATGATCTAAATGATCATAGTAAGGAGGCAAGTGATCTAGAAGATCACATGACATAACACTTCATAAAATCCCAGGAGAGATTCAGGTACTTGAAAATATGAATGAAGAGATCTCTATGTTATGTCTTTATGAAAAAATGTTGGAACCGATATAAAATGTTCGTCGACTACATTTATGATAACGATAAATATTTATGAGGATCTTAAGTCTGGAGAAACAATTCAAGTAGAATTGGTTTCATATGAAAGACATGTAGTTTTAGACCTGTAGTTCAAACACTTGAAAGTATAAAGTCATTGGTATGTGCAATCAGTTTTTGATATCTTATTTTTCTAGCATGACATGAAAACTTGATATACATCTAATTAAAGTCTATTATATGACTTATATGACAATCCTTAAAGGATTTAAATCGCTTAAAGCATATACAATTCTTGGTCCCGTATTACCACATCCTAAGTGCAATTTGTGCACATATGTATCTTGCTATAACTATAAGCATGATAATGTGATAGCGGGAATACCTCTATGGAGATATTGAAAAGGCTATTCCACGACATTATATGAAGATATTACATATACACAAGAATGATGATTTCAAGTTGCAACATATTCATTCAAGTGATAATATGGCTGATTTGATCACCAAATCTCTACCAATATCAACCTTCAAGAAGCTAGTGCACAAGATTGGAATGCGAAGGCTCAAGGATGTGAATTGATACTCTCATCAGGGGGAGTTAATACGCGTTGTACTCTTTTTTCCTTACAAGGTTTTGTCCCACTGGGTTTTCCTTGCAAGATTTTAACGAGACAACCAAAAGGCGTATTTTTAGATATGTATACTCTTTTTCCTTCACTAGAATTTTTTCCACTAGGTTTTATTTTAGTTAAGATTTTAACAAGGCACATTATCTGTTGAATAGACATTAAGGGGGAGTGTTATAAATAGAATTGTATTTAAGGTGAATATCTATATTTTAGAGAGATTTTAGAATTGTTAGTTGGTGGCTAAGTCACTTTTTCCTTACAAATAAAGGGGCTCTATTCCATTGTAATTCATCCCAAAAATCAATAAAAATTCTCTCTCTACTTTTCTCTGCAATATTCTTCTTCTTTTATTATAACACAAAGTATATATTAGTGAGTCCTATTAATTAACCGAGTTCAAAATTAATAGCATGTCTGACCAATCTTTTTCTGGTCACAAGTGTTTTTTTTGTTGTTGTCAAAAGTACTTCTTTTTCAAAGTTGAGGTGTTTGGCCAAGCTTTTAGAGAAAAAAAAAGTGCTTTGGAATAGAAGCAAAAGCAATTTTTAAAAAACACTTTTGAGAAAAATACTCTTAAAAACACTTTTTAAAATATTGGTCAAACACTAATTGTTGCTCAAAAATATTTTTCAAATCTGAACAAAAATACTCTTACAAAAACGGAAACATTCCAGCATGTCGAACTTTTTACATATGAGCTTCTAGCATAATATGCTGGAATTTTATAATATGCTGGAGTTCTATCATTATATGCTGGAAGTTTATATGCAGGAGCTCCATAATCATGCATATTATGCTGGAACTTTTCACGTGCTGGAGTTCCAACATAATATGCTGGAAGTTATATACAGGAGCTCCATAATCCTGCACATTATGCTGGAACTTTCCGTGTGCTGGAGTTCCAACATAATATGCTGGAAGTTTATACGCAAGAGCTCCATAATCCCGCATATTATGCTGGAACTTTCCGTGTTTCAGCAAAACATTGGTTATTTTTCAATGACTTCGTAAATGCTGGTTAATTGTTTTTTTATTACCAGTCCGAAAAATGGCTAGCCCGTGCTATTTTTACATTAGTTTCTCTATTCGAGTAATAATGCTTTTTTTTTTGTATGGAGTATTTTATCAAGATTCAGATCTGTGTTTTATGAAATTTATGCACAACTATTGGTATTATCAAAAAGAATTCGGCTGCAATGCTAAAGGAGTTAAATATTGAGACTTTATAAGTATGTACAAAAGTAAAGAGCGAGGGTATAAACATTCAGTAACCAAAATGCTTTACTACAATTGACAATCCTTGAACATCTAGTTCTTGAAAAAGATTGAATAAATACATTTCTTCCTTCTTTGAATTTCTTACTATGCCTAATTCCAACATATCCACTGCTGTAGAAGAATGAGGCTTGATAGAACTATCCAAGTTGTGATGATCTTTTTCATGGTGTGTCTCGAATGTCCATACGAGGACTAACACGACCATTACTACTGATAGGAAAACAAGTCCTGCCCATGTCATATGCGCGTTTTTCTTTAATGGTTTGCAATGTTTGTCAAGGATATCTGAAAATGAACTGTACACTGTGTTACATTCTGCTAGGCTTTCAATTCCAGGGTAGACATCCAGTATCTTTTTGAGAGCAGTTATGTATGACTCAATGTTGTTGAAGATCCTATATGGGATCATGACTCCTCCCTTGCAGCTTGGATCAGTGCAAGTCAACATCTTGATTATCTTTATAAAAGAAGAGAGAATTCCATTAAATTAAAGGTAACGAAAAACTAACTACTGTACTAAAACTTCGTGAAAAGAAAAATGTAAATCATAGGCGTTTGAGCTATACCCCAGGGAGCTCTCCTATCCTGATTGCGCTAGATGGACAGTTCTCATCAGGCTCGTAGTTATAGTCTGGTGGACCGGAGAATGGATTGCATATTTGTGCAACATTTCCATAATTTGTAGATAGCTCCCGATTTACCTGCAAATTTACAAAAATTCCAAAAATTTCAAGACCAGTAAATAGAATAGTACTTTATTTCAGGTTTACCTTGTTCACTACTCGATGAATCCCTTCACTGGCAGTATATAGGATTGATTGTGCTGAGAGCAATTCATCACAGGGGAGGATTGAACTCAAGCTATTATTATAGGGATTTATGCGGAAACTTTCTAGAGCTGTGCATGCATCTCCAGCGAAGCTGCAATAAATACAACTTGATCATGAGTACGCCAAGGCAATATAATTTTGAGATGAAACAGAAAAATTGAGTAAGTTATTGGAAATCGTTTTCGTACTTGTCTAGGAAGAAATAAATCCCGAAAAATAACCAGCAGAGACTTGTAAAGATCCAACATACTGCGATTAGCCTGCATATATCAGAATATATTTTTTCAGAATTTTGCAATTATTGGAAGTGTTTTAGGAGACTAAGATTTGCACCATTGACATGATATACTTACAGGTGAAAATTTCTTCTAAATTTGAGGATTCCAAATACTGCATTGGAAAAATGATTTCAGCTTTAGTCAGTATTAGATATTTTAATGATAGCCCTACTAAGAAATTACTACTACTTTTGGATATTAGTCTCCTTTTCTTCCTCTTTGCCTACTAGACTAGAGTAATGGCAAAATTTTGAAACTATCCTTTTCTTTCCTTCACTTTCTCTAGCTCCCAAACAAGGGGTGTGTTGTACTTCAAATTTAAGCTATGGATTATAGATTCTTTTGAAATAATATGGAATGAGGATAAACATGGAACAATGGGAAAATTCAAGTTGGACTTAGTACACTCACCTGTTAGGGAAATTGCAGCAGCCAAGTTGAGTGAAATAGTCAGTGTAGTTATTATGTACCTGCCAACAAAAAGTAGTGTGCATGTCAGTCTTTTTATGACCTGGAAAGCATAGGCGAACCTATGACAGGTTCTGTGCATTCAACTAAATTTATTTCTTTTGAGTTTTGACTCGAACTATGCATGCATATGCGGAAAAAAATAAAATATATACATATAATAAAATCATACTCATTCTGAACGTACTAACACTAGATCCTGAATCCATCTTACTGAAAGGGACCTATCTAGAATATAAGACGAATGGGGAGGAGGAAGACTTACAGTATCTCGAGGCTTTTCTCGACTAAACGCCTATTTTTCGTGGCTCCCCGACGTATATCAGCAGCCTGTCTGTCAAGACTTTGGGAAGTGGGAATGAGGAAATTAGCAGCCTCATCACCTATATCAGTATCTTCTAAGTCAGTATTCATATCTCTCAAGGCTTCAGTAGTAGTATATATTGTCTCTGATGCCCCATCTGCTGTATCAATGATAATGTTCACAACTGTATCTGTTCTTGAACGTAGTTTCGCATTCCCTCCTAGTACCAGGCCTGTAGCTGTTCTGCAATTATAGTGAAATTATCTCCTCAGTTTTGTCTTCCCTTTCAGAGTGAATGAAACTACTTCATTGGAGGATGCATTATATAAAAAAGGCAGCCCGGTGCACAAAGTATCCCACATTCAATTAGGGTCCAAAGAACGGCCGCATTCCAAGGGGTATGATGTAGACAGCCTACCCCGTGGCGAAGCTAGGAATTTTCCCAAGGGTATTCAAATTTGAATGAAGTGATAAAAAATTTCCGACAATGGGTGTTCATTATGTATTATGTACCCCTAAAACGTAATATTTTACCTATATAAATAATGCAATTTTTCAACAAAGGGTGGTCAACTGACCACCCTTATTACCATGTGGTTTCGCCACTGAGCCTACCCTAATGCAAAATATTAGTGGCTGTTTTCACAGCTCGAACCCGTGACCTATAGGTCATATGGAGACAACTTTATCGTTGCTCCAAAGCATCCCGCATTCAAGTAGGGTCCAAGGAACGGCCGCACCCCAAGGGCTGTGATATAGACATCATACCCTAATACAAAGCACTAGTGGCTGCTTCTACGGCTCGAACCTGTGACCTATAGGTCACATGGAGACAACTTTACCGTTGCTCCAAGGCTCCCCTTCGGAGTATGCAATATATGCAGACATAAAAACCTTAGGTTAATTGACTTAATGTTTATTGCAGTAAAGTCATAAAACTAGATAAGTCAGAATGGAGAGACACTTACATTGCTAAAATTGTCAAGAAAACAGCTGAGAAAATAAGCCAGAGATAATAGTGTTGATACTGACAAGTTGATCTCTTCTTAAGCTTCATGTTCTTCCTTTTACAGCAGCTGGTAGAGGCTAGAAGATATAGTCCATATCCTAAGCCACACAAGAGCCACACTACTGCAATGGCATAGCCATATATACCTGTAAAGATGGTGGACTGCACAACAAGTTAAAATTTAGTGCTTGAAATTATTTTGTCATATGTGAAGCATAATTAGAATAACTTGCTTATAATTGGCAAAAGATGCATTCTTTTTTAAAATTAAATGTATAAGTAGATTATGGAATATTTACTGTGACCAGTGGCGAAGCCAAGAATTTTTTCAAGGGTGTTTAAATTTTAAAGAAGTGAAAAAAATTCTCCTACAAAAGGTGTTCAGTATATGTTATATACCTCTAAAACATAATATTTTACTTATACGTAATGTAATTTTCCGACGAAGGGGGGTCAAATTTAAGACATGTAGCTTCGCCCTTGATTATGAATATACTTAAAAATTGGACAAATAAATGGCAAAAGTTAAAAACTAAAAGAAAACAAGGGATTATATTACATTGATGTATAAAAGAAAAATATAAACACTCAATTAGTGTAGAGGAATTATGTATCTATGTTGCTAGGACTCTCTAAAACTGCTACAACACCCGTGCTTCAAAATACACTACTATTGGAAGATGCGACACTCACTTCTTATCATTCTTGAAGAGTCCGGGCAACATAAAATTATTATATGGTAGGAATTAAGAAATGAAAACTACTCACACTCCAATAGTGTTTATTTGTAATGTCAAATCCTCCTCTGTATTTGTTGAAATTGTTCAAAGGGTCTATTCTCACAGTATCATCTGATTGCTTTCTAGCTTCTGAATCATTGTCTATCTCAATTAATCTTCTTTCTGCAGAAATCAACAAGTATGTTCATCAATTAAGGCATTACTATATATTAAGCTTTGAAAATGGCACCAGGGAGCCGCTTGTAATGTTTCGGTTTAAAATATAACAGGTTTTTAAATACTATTTAAAGTGTAGCCACGCTGTAATAAGTAAATAGAACTTGGACAAAATTTATCTCTAAACTTAGCAAGAAAAAACGTTAAAATATCATGGTATAGCCAGTTTTCACACTGGTCAATGAAAAATAGTCAGCGTTTATCAAGTCAATGAAAAATAGCCACTATTTTGCTGCAACAGGGACCGGTCCAGTATAATATACGGGAGTTCTGGTGTATTTGTGTACGAACTCCAGCATATTATGCTGGACCGGTATACTTTGCTAACTCCTGTAAAATTTGCGGGAGACTGGAGCACCAGTGCTCCAAACTCCAGTATATTATACTGGACAATTATACTTGCTGGAACTCCCGTAAAATTTGCGGGAGTTCCAGCATAATTATGCTTGAACTCCCGTAAAATTTGAGGGAGTTCCAGCATAGTTATCCTGGAACTCCCGTAAAATTTATGGGAGTTCAAGCATACTTATGCTGGAACTCCTGTAAAATTTGCGGGCGTATTTTTTCGGATTTTAAACAGTGTTTTCGCTCAGATTTAAAGTGGCTAAATTTCGATGACTTTTGAAACTTGGCTATTTTTCAACGACCAATGATAAATCTGGCTATTTTTGAATTTCTCCCAGAAAAAACTTTAGATCATCGGGTCTGGTTAGGCTCTGCCAGAAGCCAAAAGGTCCAAAAATTTGAAGCTCTAAACTTAAAACCAAAACGTCAGATTTTTGGATTTGAAAGTTGGCTTCTAGCATACCTAAAGCTTAAAATGTGAAGTTAGGCTGTTGTAGTTCAAACTTTAGACCATCGGACTTTGGACCTAAACGATCTGAAGTTTGAAGAGATTGCTAAATTTTTAAACTTCGGCTATTCGTTAAATAGCAGTGCTAAAACAGGCTATTCACCCCCCCCCCCCCAACAAACCCGCCACCACCACAAACAATCTACCGACAAAATGGCATGGCATAGCCATTTTTATGGGTGGTTATTAAAAAATAGCCAATTTTGCAAAGTATTGAAAAGCGATCACTATTCAAGGCAGAGATAAAATCTGGAGAAAAGTACCCTAACTGAAACACGGAAAGTTCTAGCACAATATGTTGGATTATGGAACTCCTATTCTCTCACCATATTATGTTACTTCAAATTAAAGCATTATGAATTCCAGCACATTATGCTGGATTCTCATATATAAAAAATTCGAATATCTAACATATTTTGCTGGAATTTTTTCGAATTTTTAAGGTGTTCAGATTTTATTTTTACGTAAAAAATAATGACTATATTTTGATTACTTTTGAAACTATGACTAATTGTCAATTAGCTATTATAAATCAGGCTATTTTTGATTTTTTTTTTTTCCATTCTATTTCTCTAAAAGCCCATCTCCTCGATTATTCTACTGGATACATGCTATCAGAATCGGATCTACCATGTTAGCTACACGTTAACGTGAATCCAGTAGCTTTTGCCTATATATATCAAGAAATTCATTAAATATCTACTACAAGCATTTGACTGTAGATCTAGTTATTATTTTGTATATATATAAACTTGAGATCATCGTAAAAAACTCATAAACTTCAGATCCTGAATCTGCTTCCGCTTCTACCTCCCAGAAATAGCTTTGCCTCCGGTATCAACCACCCCTTTTGAAACAAGAAAATACATTATGTAAATTTTCATTCACTATTCACTACCGATCTAAACTTGAAAGTGAGAATGTAGTTCCGTTGAGCTTCATTCATAGTCTTGCTCGCATAGTACACTGGATGAGACATTTTGTTCACTCTTTGACACAAAACTACCCCAACCGCAACATCACTCCCATCGCACATGAGCTACGAAAGGCAAGCTCCAATTCGGTGCGGTAATGAGTCGNTTACTTTTGAAACTATGACTAATTGTCAATTAGCTATTATAAATCAGGCTATTTTTGATTTTTTTTTTTTCCATTCTATTTCTCTAAAAGCCCATGAAAGAGAGTCCTATCAACCAAAAAAAAAAAAAAAAGCAGAAATAGAAGAAGAAAGATAATAGGCCTACCTGCTTTGGCTTTTACTCCTTCAAGAGTAATGATGTTAAGGGCAAGGAGAATAGCCACTATTAGTAAGGAAATAGCCACTTTCCTCCTATGCATAAATCTCATCTTCTAACCTGTCATCAAGTAATCAATAACTAGTTAATTATCAATTGGGATACTTTTCTGTTAAACTATTATTTTTGTTAAACAAATTCGTTTTAGTTTTTTTGTACTCAGGAGAAAAATGAGAAACAACTTTTGAGAATCAAGGTAATCTAGTTTAATAATAGGGACTTTTTATAGAAATATACTACGTGTTGCTAATGACAACATCATAATACTAGACTAATATATAATATGATAACACCAGTTGCCTCATACTTTGCAAAAGAAATTACTGACGCTACGTTCGTTTTCATTAATCTACTACACAGATATTGTAAGAAATCTTTTACAATATCATCACCGGTATATATAACTTAAATCCAAACATCAAAACTTTGCTTTCAGAGGCTGATTCAGGATTTGAAGGTGGCAGAGCACAGGAGACTATTCAACCACTGTCCAAATCGGACTTTTAATCGTAAAGGTTCCAAACAAAATGTATAACTTTTTCAATATATATATAATATATATACACACATATATTTTCGGAACTTTTATTGAGGTTAACAGGGTCCGATACCCTCTCTAATATATACATATATAGGTCTGCCTCTGGCTGCTCTAACAAACCAATACTACTACTATACACCAATGACCAACCTATATATGTAAAAGTTTTGTTTTACACGCATCGAATTCGAATGTTATACTAAACCAGATAAATACACACACAAAAAAAAAAACAGAAACAAAATCAGAAGATTGAACACACTATATATGATTAATGTATAATTACACATAAAATACCTTTTCGTATTGTTGCAAAAGAGATGAATATGAGAACTATATGGAAGAAGAAAAAGAAAGATAATTATATTAAAGCAGAGTTCAATATGTACATGCATGGGGAGGCACTTCTAAACGAAGGCCAAAAGGTCGTGTGTGAACACTTTTAAACTGAGAATATAGAATATAACTTCCAATTCAAGTAAGGAACCATATTTTTCAGATAATAATCCTTATTGATGAAGAAGACTGAAATACATTTATCTTAATTATTCTGTTATCCTTCTCCAAGATTAACTAAGATTTCACTCCTTTTTAGTGTTATGTTTTAAAGTCCAACTAACTTTTGAAAAGCTTAACCGACCAAACCCCCCCCCCCCAACACCACCACAACAACAAAAAAAAAAAGAAAAAAGAAGAAAAAAAACAGTTAGGCAAAGTTTATCTTTTTTTTCTTTTCTTTTTCCAATGGAAGAATATTCTTGAATGAAAAGTTCGTTTCTGATCAAAATATCAGAGACGAACTAATTGCGTTGTACGTAATTAGTACAAAATATCACAATTCGTCCAGAATTATATTATCTTAAATTAGTAGACCATTCTCATCAAATAAAGGATAAAAGCACTCTTGGTGTTTTAACCATTAATAGTTGGGTAAAATAGTACTCTTTCGATATGTTTTGCAAACACTTTTATTTTTAGTTTCTCATCTTCTTTAGAGAAAATAATTAAATGGAAACAAACACATAATTAAAGAATAATTACCTGAGATACAACAAATTCTGGCCTGAGATTCTGCTTCAAATTATTTACTTTGTTCAACCTAACGTTTAAAAAATAGGCAACCTTGTACGCAAGGTATCCCGAGTTCATATAATGTCCGACGAAGGACCACAGTTCTAATAAAAATTAATTAACTCAATAAGAGTTCTCAGTCTTCATGTTTGAAGCTCAAATATATTCTGTCTTAAAGCTGAAACAGTGGAAACTCTTAGTCATATTTAATTTATGCAGATACATGAATTCCAGCTTTTTTTAAAGAGATTTATAGGAAAAGGGAAAATTTAATTTCTCATGAAGAGGAAAGGTCAGTAAACCAAATGGTCTTTGTATTATTTCTACTGTACATAAATCGCCTCTCTCAACCCTTTTGTGTACGTTGAATAGATACGATCTAGAAAGTTGAGCTTTCTACTTAAGTTACCCTTTTAGAAATGTATGGACATGTTTAATAAAAGCAAGCATCCTAAAATAATTAATTATACAGGATTTTATGTTGGATTTTTCTAAATGAAATAAAACAATAACAAACCCAGTATAATTTCACGAGTGGGGTCTGAGGAGGGTAGTATGTATGCAGACTAAGGAGGATAGTGTGTATGCAAACGTTACCCCTACCTTTGACTATTTATCGGCTTAGCCGTGCACAAAGTTTTTAAATATATATGAAGTGAAGAAAAGGTATCCGCAGAATAATCCCTTCTCTCTCCTTTTTTTTTTTTCTTTTTCTTTTGGAAGTGGGTTGAGGGTGAATTTTTGTTGTGATCATCACCCCAAAGAATAGATTTAAAAAAGACAATATAAGTTTGGTGCTTTTAATCACCCAAAAAGTGTGCCATGAAAATAGAAACTATTATTAGAGGGGTGATTTAGAGGGCAGGGGTTTGTTTCAAAAATAGGTGAATATTGGGAAAAAATTTAGAGAACCTTTTTCAACCAAATTAACGCTATAAGAGGAAAGTTTTCAGTTTTGCTCGTCTTTTTTTCTTTTGGTTCCCCATCCGCGTCCGATACTTATATTGGAGCACCAACCAACCAGGAAAATGCTTTCACTAGAAATTTTATTTCGTTCTCAAAACTCGAATACAAGACATCTAGCTACGGGTGGAGGGATCCTATCAATCCCACAAGTATACTCTCTGTTTTCCTTGTCTTGTCTTTCTTGGGTAATAGAAGCGTGAAGAAAGAGAAATACTTATTGCTTTTCTTCAAAAGTTATTATGAACTTGAGTATTTCAGCAACGTGAATAGAATAAACCAATACTACTAAATGCCTAGCTATGACCAACTTATATCCGCCAATGTACAAACAGAAATAAAACCACTGTATATGATTAATGTATAATTACACATAACATACCTTCTCGTGTAGTTGCAGAAGAGATGAAAGGAATAAGAAGAAAGAGAGTAATTAAGCACTTACTGAGAACTATGGAAGTCGAAAATTAGAGAAGGATATATAGAGGCTGAGTTCAATGTGCACGAATTCAATGCCAAAAGGCAATGTGTGAACACTTTTAAACTCAGAATATAGAATATAACTTCTAATTAATTCAAGTAAGGAACCATATTTTAAAGATAATCCAATATTTATTGATGAAGAAGACTAAAATAAATATATCTAAATTATCCTTCTCCAAGATTAACTAAGATTTTCACTCCTTTTCGTGTTATGTTTTAAAGTCCAACGAACTTTTGAAAAGCTTAATGATCACGTCCAACTATGCCTTATAAAAAGGACAATGCGGTCGTTGCAAATATAATCCGGTTTACAAGTCCGGAGTCGAATCCCACAGAGAACTAAGGTTTAGCTACAGCTGTTCACTATCACTAAGAAGACAAGCTTGAACAATTCCTAACTTATAGATATTAAGATTCTTGTGTTTAACTACTTAACTAACAAATTAAAATAGTAAATTAACAACTAACGATACTGAGGGTTCGAGAAAAGATTAAGGAGGTCTAGAGTTATGATTTTCCCTACTGTCGGAATCCTTCACGCTATGTCTTCTATAATTTCGCCTAAGTATTCTCTATCGATCATGGGCACTCTTATTACCGTAAATCTCTCCCGAGTAATTACGACAATTTACTAGACGCACTCTCCCGAGCTACGCTAGCTGGCTTTTAATACAGCTCACTTTAGATCGCTCCCAAGGCTTCGTTATCCCTAATCCCGCCTTTAAACCCTCGGTTATTGATCCCTCATATACTTTGGGAGTGGTGTTGTTCAACAATTACCTAAATATGCACTCTCTCCCGAGTTATGCATACTAAAT